CCTCTGCAGCAATAAACTATGGCCAAAACAAATTATAGGTAATCTGCAAAAATTACACGTAATAATCTTCTATCTATTATAATATATATATAAATATATAGATAATAGATATCATAGTTCATTTACCCCTTAATTCGTTACTTTTTAAATTTGTTATCTGATCATAATTATATCTACAAGTACTTCGTTTACATCAACGTGATCATAAATCATAATAAACAATATGGATTTATATTAGGATTATAATTCATATAAGATAAAAAGATATTTACGAGGTACCTGAATTAGATTGTATTATAATGACGTAACGTGTTGTCTACAACACCTTCCTAGGTATCTACTTAGGGCCGTTCTCACCAATGTAAAAAATAGGCGTTTATTTGATTCTTAAACTAAGTTTATGGCTAATAACCGACTACGATTAGTCGATTATCTTATAAACTCCGTTTAGAAATCAATGTTTACGTTAGTAAGAACAGGCCTTAATTAACAAAATGAATATAGTAATTGATTTATTTTGGGTTATTTAATTTTGAACTGCAACCATCACAGGATAAAATAGTTGAATATTATATTGGGGTATCAGTCCCGATTTTTTTCAACTGACATATTTGTCCAGATTATAAATACAATGTTCATTTAAATAGTAATTATCCACTGAATATTGCAGGCATTTAGGAAAAAAATATTTTCTTCGAAATTAAATGTCCTCAGAACAGTAGAAGTTATTTCTGATTTCAATATAAAAAAAAAAAGAGCTGATATTAGTGACGGATTGGTAGGTAGTTGGAAGGGTGGTGTACATAAAGCTAATTTATACTTGTAACCAACGATAAACCATTCGCTACACTCAAAATCTAAAACATCATAGTAAAACCAATAGATCCTTCGCTGTGCTTCGAATCTAAAAAACAGAATATTTGAGACGCCTAGAACACAAGGCGTTTAAGTGACATTTTTAAAAAATCTGAGTTGAGAGCACAGCTGAATTAAATTTTATTGTGTGGTAAAGAAATATAAGAAAATGATTCGACATATGCTGCGATCTAGTAATAAATACTAGATCTCGCTAAAATAGTCTCTAAACGAAATGTAACATATTAGAAGTAAATAGGTACAAGGATCCAAAACTGTTTTTAACACACTTATATATCTATGTTGCCAAGTATTTAAAACTTGTTTTTATCATTCGAACACAAGAACAGTAGTAATATGATAATGTACTATAATAATAGTATTAAATACAAATAACTTTAAACTTGATTTTCTCGAAATTAAAAAAAATGTCACTTATACCTCTTGTGTTCTAGGCCCCTCATTTGTCTTAGCAACATGTCTCCTTGTCTCAATATAGTCAATACACGTGTGACAAGTTTCTTCTGGGAAATTTATTATTAATTAATTAATTTGAGGTTCCAACCTAAAAAATGTATAAGTACTGACCATAACCTGTTTCTATAATAATGCTGTCATAGGCTTATCAGAAATTAATACAAATCATGTGTAACTTTTTATCATTTCATAGTACTTTTCCACGATTTTTCAAAGATTAAATAATATGGGCATGGTTGGTTTCCACCAAAAGTGTACCTTTTCTTTTTCTGACAAATGAAAAAATTGAGTCTAATATTCGAATATTAATATGAACGATTGTATCTATTACAATTATTAATTAGACATATAAATAAATTAAAATTTTAGAAATTTTTTTTATTTATGTGAGTATGATACAAATTTCGCTTATTAATTATTGAATACAAGGTACAAATGGTAAATACTTATAACGATCATCTTACCATAATTTTTTTTTATTATCTTTTGTATAAGTTAAAACTTATTTTGATTATTTATTTTTCCATTATAAGATATCTGTAGATGTAAAATAACGTATAGTAATTGATGCCTAATGATAAATTTATCGGTGATTATTGTACTATTCCAATGCTATCGATTATGTTGTTAATCTATTACTTGTATCAGTTGATGTTTTAATTTAATGTCAATGTTTGTATTTTTTTTTTCTTAAATGATCAGATATAACTTCACGAAACTATTAACAAGTATCATGTATAATTATATTAAGTAACATTTTTAAAATTTTTTTATAAAACAATAATAATAATTTATGATACTGTATCAGTATCATCCATTAATATTCGAATATTAGACTAAATTTTTTCATTTGGCGAAAACAGGTGACTCCCAAATATTATGGTTCTGAATTTACTGTGGCATCGTTGGATTCTTTTTTGGTTGAATTTGAATTACCTATACTTTCGAAAAAAGCACAAAAGGTATTTTACTAATTTTTGGCCTTTATTTTGTTAATTTCTACCATAGAAGTATACTTTTGTTTTTTTTTTTTGTTTGTTATCACTAGATATATATATTTATAAATAACTGATAAACAGTTAATCAGTGGCGTATTTTGATGAAAATCATAATAGAACAGCATTTTAAAACACGTATAAACAAAATTCGTTTTTTTATTTTTATAAGAGTTTAAAATCAAATGTTTAATAAAACCGCAATAATCAATTCCTTTCAACAAACGTACAAATAACAGAGTTTCGCTCAGAATTGTTTTTCGTTAACAATGAGTTTTTTTCTGCATACCTACAGATTTAGATTAAATAATTTTACACGTCCTACCTTTCCAACTTCTTACCTAAATCGCGTCTCCAGTACAAGCTCTTTTTTAAATTTTTATTTTTTATTTGAAAACAAGAAAATATGATTGAAACTCACAATAGTCATAATCGACGATGAAGATATTCGAAAGAACCGATGGTTATACAAAATTATTATATATGTACGTAAGTACTGATAAAAATTATTATTCTCTTGTACATTGTTTGAAAAAAATTGTCCAAATATCAAATGTGACGGAACCTACTCTATGGACTTGAAAATTCGTCCGATCCTACCCAGGCGTATATTATTATACAAGTAGGTTACCTAACTACTAGAGCGATCTGTAGTCGTTTGCGCAAACCATTGCTACTGCTAAACAGAGACATTTCGCGTGTGTTCACTTTCTGTGACTGTCGTGTATATATATCGGATGTGAATACCTACAAAGTGGGTTGTTCGCTAGTTTACTAGTACAGTTAATAGCTAATACTTTATCATTGACAATGTATAACTGACATTCACACCAGTGACTGCTGGATGATAATAATAGACTGTGACTGCACGAGGGCGTATACTCGGAGCGAATAAACAAAAACCAAACGAGCAAAATAAGGGGCACATGTGCGCTGCTCGTATTGATGGTTATTGTTTTATTAATATTTATTCATATATGTATTCAAATAAAATATACGTTATAACTTTTATATTTATTTATTTATTTATTATTTATAAATTAGTTAATTCTGATTCCACCGAAATGTTATACATGTAATTAATGCAATTTCTAAAAAACAAAAAATTCCAAAAATTGTAATTTTGGGTATTTTAAATTCAAAAATACGATTATTAGAAAAATCGAGCATTTTGAATTTTTTTGACCATAACTTCCAATTGAAATTTGAGTGATTTTTTTTTAAAGTATCATCAAATTAAGCATGCGAAAACTCATATTTTGAAAAAATATCGCTTGGGTGCTAAACCAAATTTATACCATAATCGAAAAACTTAAAAAAACTAAAAACTATTACTACAATAAGTTTAGTGTAGGTAGATAAACACCTATGCATTTTTAAAATAGGGGTACCCATGTTTTTATGCACCAACTTCAATAACTTCAATACTTGATTTAAAAAGAAATACAAACACTTTTTTCCTAATTGCCAATAATAATAAGTTTAAAAGACAAAATATCTATTGCATTTATTTTACTTCAAAACTACACATAAGTAGGTACAATTATTGAGCAGTTTAACTTTTACAAACATTTTTGTCAATATGAATATATAAATTACTCAAGTAATTTACAATGATTAAATATTATGTATAGTACCTATATACACATATATTATAATTAAAATCATCACGAAGTGTATTACTTAATTGACTTTATAATTTGCAAATCTATTAAATAGATTAAACAATTTTCTTCGTATCAATATTTTTAATATACATAATATTACTTAACTACTTAAGCATTTATTAATATAGTTCTTAATATACTAACCTAATTAATACAAAAAATAATGTACCTACCTACCTAATTTAATACCTATATCTGTTTATCATAATTTGCTATTTGTACATTTATATTCAGTATTTTATTTATTTTTGTTGTATTTAGATAAGAAGAAATTAATTAAATATCAATAATCAATTTTGCTAAAAGAAATGGTAAAGGAATGAATTTCAAAAATAGGGTTAAGGTCAACTTTTTTAAAAAAACCTTGATGATTTAAAATTAAAAAATAAATCAACTCCAGAAAAACAAATGCGTGTAGAAGTAAATTATACATCTTACATAAAAAAATGAAATAATAATAATGTATTGAAATATAACAATTATGATTTTTACTAGGAATAAAGGTTAATGATTTTCATGGAAAATATTTAGAGAAATATATTACAAGGTATTATTAGAGTATAGGTATCATTCATAAATTGTCTAATGTTTTGTTTACTCAGGCAGAATATTATAATATTAGTTACTATAAATATTTTTTACCAATAATACCAAAAACGTGTACATTATAGAGGGTTCGGGAATTGATAGGTAGGCTATAAAATAAACGTTCCTAAAGTATTCCTTAGTCAATCTGCTAATCCAGCATATAAGTGGATTACTCAGTAGATTGATAGAGTTTTGGAACATGCTCTTTTGTTATTCAGTTGGAACGTAATGGTTAATACCATCAATTTAGGTAACCCATAGGCCATAATTACCATAGACATATAAAAACATGTATATGTCGAGAATTAAGATGTATATATATATATATAATATCTGCCTGTGATAATCATTATCATATCTATGTCTAATCGCCAATGTTTTATTCTTATCATTTAAAATTTTTCATTATTTGATAGTGGCCGCCAGTTAAGTTAGTACTTATTATTTAGTAGCAGCAAAAAACAATAATAGTAGTAGTCTAATAAATGGTTAGTGCAGTTAGCACTTAGCAATAACAATTGCTAAAAATCAGTTATTAATCTATAAGGTAAGGTAACTCTATCGTTTAGGTTATACATACTATATAGGATTAAATGATATACAAATCGAGGCAGTATCTAAATGTTTTATAAAAGTATTTCCAGCACACAAAAACCGTATTTCCATTGTATTAGACATGTCGAGTGTTGGAATTTGGAAATACGTTAGCATATAAAACATAATACATTTTATTACAACATATTTTTTTTTGTCAAATATAAATTGGTAAATTAGTTTTAATTTTTGCGCGTAAAGTGTATCACATCCCCCTGGTTAAACACTATTCCATCCATAATATTTCAGACAGGAAAATACTTATGTAAGAAACATGAATTAAGATATACTTTATCCGTGGTCAGAAAAGATGTAAAGAATATTATCACTAATGTTATATGTCTTGCCTTAAATCAATTAGGTATCCACAAAAGTTTAAAATGTCTATTTCCAATAAAAAAAAGTGTTTTTTGTGTTCAAAAATCATCAGCAAAAGTTCTAGTACAGCTTTACATGAGTAAGTATTAATTTAAACTTCAGATTTTTTTTTTTTAAATTTGATATGTTGATTTGTCTGAAAATATTCAAATGTTTTATTGTCAATTACCCATGTTACCAACAGTTATGTATATTTTTTGTTTAAGTTTTCCATTAGATATTGAAACCCGCTCTTTGTGGCTTAAAGCATGTGCTATAAGTGATAAAGAATATTCACCAAGTGTATTGATTTGTTCTAAGCATTTTGAAAAAGATTCTTTTCAATCATTTAGTATGAGAATATTGAAGTCTAATGCAATTCCTACTAAGTTTACAAAAATTGCAAAAAACATTTGGTGAGTATCTAGTAGGTTCCAACTCATTTTATATTTATTTAATTATTTAATTTTGTAATGCTGTGCCAATTTTTATAATTTATCTACTTTATACGTTGTTTTTTTTTTAGCCAATTACAGACTAACGATGAAAAATGTATTGCAAATATACAATGCGAAAAAGGAAACTGCAACCAAAGCCATTATACTTCAATAAGTACAAGCATATTTGATTTAGTTTATTATAATAATCTATGTATTTCCATTTCATTTCTTTGATCTTTTAATAACATGCAATTATTATTTTTATGAGCAGTACCAGTCAATTAAAAAGTTTAATTTTTGAATGAAATATCTAACAAATTAAATATAAATTTATTTCTCTATACTACATATTCCTTTAACATTTAATACAACAATAAGTCAGAAAACTATTAGTTTTATACCTAGTATAGTTTAAACAAATTCAAAATTAAGTTGTGTATATTTTTTGTAGATAATGAAGCAGTAAATGGAAATATTAAACAATTTATTGAATCATCTAGAGTTCCGGTTATTTTTAAAAATATGTTAGACAATTGGGAACCTTTCAAATGGGATTTAGAAAAATGGAACAGTATTTTTGAAAACCAACTTTTAGACTGTAGAAAAGGAAAAATTACTTGCACTAAAGTATGCTAAGATATTAATACATAATTAATTTAAAATTAATAATATTAATATTTTGTTTATTTGTTGTCAGGAACCTTTGTGGGAAAATAAATGTTCTAATGAAAGTCATTTATTCAGTGAAATCTTAAAAATGTCAAAAAATATTGAGAATAATGGTGATTGGTTGTATTTCGATTATAAATATATTGGAGAAAATGTAGATGAAAAAATATTCCAAGTTAGTTGCTTTACATACTTACAAAAAAATAATGTTGCATTAATATTTTTATTTTAGTCTATAACGTGGGAAAAACTCGGTTATGAAAATTTAGGTGCCAAAGATTCAACATTGTGGATTGGAAGTACTGGAGCTCATACACCATGTCACCAAGATCTGTATGGTGTTAATTTGGTGGCCCAAGTTTGTGGAATGTAAGTTAATAATTATTAATAAAATACAATAATAAATTAAAAAAAAAAAAATGTTTTGATAGAAAACGTTGGATTTTAATGCCACCTGAAATGGGAAAATATTTAAAGCCATCTAGAGTACCATATGAAGAATCAAGTTGTTATAGCAGAATTAACTTTTCGTGTCCAGACAATCTTATTGGTAAATTATAATTTTACGTAACTACTTAGTAATAAATATTTTAAAATATATTGTTTATCAGAAATAGCAAAACATTTCAGTAGTAGTTGTAGTACTTGTGTATCAAAATATAATAAAAAATTTTTTGGTTTCCAAGTGTAGCAAATGATCTATTGATTTTACTATGATGTGTGTTTTTGTATTTTTTTTTGTGTGTGTCTTAAACAACACATATTTCGGCCTTTTAAAACATGTATAACCGAATTTTACTCCAAATTGTTTTTTGTTAGCAATTATTTATCATTGCTTACAAATATAAATTAAATAACTTAATGTATTCTATCTTCCTAACTTCTCACTTATGACAGTGGTACTCCCATTCTCAGTATTTTTTTTTTTTTATATTGGTTATAAATTAGTTTCTGATCAAAACTTTTTTGATAAATCAATCTTAGATCCTAATTATAATTGATAGGTTTCAATTTAATTCTTAATAATACATATAATACATAAAATTATTCCATACTAATATTTTTTCTAAGACTATTTCTTTCTGTTAATCACAATATTTAGGATATAATATATTCTATATGTCCCATATACATGTTATGTATATAATACATATACATATAATGTTTGATATTTCACCACTCAAATGATGTGGATTTATTAAGAATTGTAAGATTAGTTCTAGACAAAGAAAATGAGCAAATTTTTCAGAAAAAAAATTTAGTTATATTTTCTTATATTTTATTTACATATCTAAATATTTGTTGATTTGATGTGAGACTGATTATCTTTAAAGTTTGATTTATAAAAAGTTGAATAAAAATTATGAATTTATTAAATATTAATAATATGTAACACTGGAATTATGTGTGTGCGTGTGTCATAGAATTGCCCCATCCCTGTTCTATATTATAATTTTAATTTTTCAGATATTGATGAAGCTTGTAAATGCGTGTCAATTATTTTATCACCGGGCGATGTTTTATTTGTTCCACACAAATGGTGGCATTATGTAGAAAATCTAACTACTGCTATTAGCATAAATACTTGGATACAAACTCCGAAGTATGACAATGTAGCGAGGTTAAGTGAATCTGTTGTTCGTTTAATGGTGAGCAGTATATGCTCTGGCGTTTCTGAGAAAACTCAATTACAATTATTAAACCCAAATGAAGTAATTGATCATAGTTATTATTAAAATTAATTAATAATCTATATAATTTTGAAATTAAAACTAAATTATGAATATTTCAGACATTTTCAACATCTATGGCAGCAGAATCTATAAAGTTCATTGATCAAAGCATTAAAATGGTAATTTTACGGATTCCATTCAATTTTCTGTAATTTTTTAAAAAAACTAAATTTGTGTTGTTTAGATCGAAACTGAAAAAGAAACAACAGATTCAATGAAACTTTCTTCGACTTCACTTTTAAAGTGTCAGTTTAAAATGTGTCAACCAGAACAATCTTTGTGTAAAGTGCAATTTGATACAAAACATCACAGAAATAACCATACGTCAAGTTTATTAGAATCAAATGATACAAATATTGAGGATAGTCATAAATTATTATTAGACGCTCTTTGTAATGAAAATGTTATAAATCAAATTGTTTGTAATTTAATTAATAAAGACCAGCCTGTACCATAATTATTAGATTACCTATTTAAATTAAGATTATGCCCTTACAAAAAAAATATAATAATATTTTTAATAAAATAATAATAATAATAATAATATTAAATAAATATGAAATACTAAATAACATAAAATATGTTTAAATTAAATTATTAATTTGTTATTTATTTTATATATATGAATATCATCCTTATGATTTTGGTCCGTGTTTTAATAATCAGTCTACACATATTTGAGCATTATTTCTCTGTTCTCTGCCAAGTCTTCTTCTATAAATTCATTAGTATGTCTATGCTCAATTATTTGTCGTGGTATTGGTGCAGATTAAATTTAACTGTGCCTCTTATAAAGATGATATTTGTATCAATATTTGATTGATATTCATGTTCGCACAATTAAATTGAATATGTCGAAAAACAAATGTTGCGAAAAATTAAAAAAAAAAAATCTATTTGCTACTTGGTGTCATACATCATGACGTTTACCCAAACTCGTACTCCTATTCCTTATGACTATCATATCTCAGGTACGAAAATTGCACGCGTTAATGATTATTTAATAAATTGCGGTTTTAAACTTCATAGAACTCCTAGTCCTAATCCACACATTACAATGATTTGTAGAGCATTTAGAGCTTTAGGATTCATGATAGGTCTTTCTAAGGATTTTAAATTAGTAAAATCGCTAAGATATTTATATTTATATTGTACTTTAGTTCATCCTATTTTAGAATACAGATATATATTATCTGGGATCCTTATACTATTTCTGACACTGATAAACTTGAACGTATTCAACAAATATTTTTGAGATTTGCATGTTTTGTGTTAGGCATCCTATATTTACCTCTCAATTATACTAATACCACAAATGTAGTTGATCTGTCAACACTTGCTGAACGTTGAAGAATGACAAACTCAAAATTTATTCGTGGATTAATAACTAACTGAATTGATTCTTCATCTTTGCTATCCCACATCGTTTTCAAAGCCCCTTGTTTTGTTTTCATAACACCTTCTTTCAAAATGGTAGTATTAATTATTTACAAAATGAACCTTCAAGACGTATTACGTCATCCGCCAATGAGGACCCCTCCTTTGATGATAATTTATTTTAGTCTTTTTAATTATCCATTAGTATACCTATTATATTTGTAATGTTCTACTTATGTCTGGTTGACTGATGACTGTTTTAATGTTAAAAGGGGAAACCTGTATATTTACTGTGCATTTAATTTAATAAATGTTGAGCCATTGATAAAATAGACACATGACAAGCGGGTTACCAAGTGCTGACGATAATAAAAAAAAAAAAAAAAAAAACTTGTTAATAGTAAATTCACAAATGCCACTCAAGGGTAATAATTACTTATTTCTTTATCATTATATATTATGATATTAATAAATACATTGAAAAAGTTCCCAACCTATTTGTCTAAAAATTACTAAAGTAACTGTCTACTCTTACCTACCTGGATACCTATAAGGTTTGATTGGTATGAAGTGAACAATACCTAAATTCCCTAATTTATTTGATTCAAGTATAAATATTAGGTACTTAAGCAAGTATTAGCTCGACTGAAACATGACTTGCTCATTAATTACTTGATCGTGTGAACTGGGTTCTAATACAAAAGTAATTTGCCTTCGGAGTTACGGATACATTTTTTCGTTCAGACATAATTAAACTATTTATATATTGATATTTGATAGGTAACCAATGTTGTTATGTACAAGAAACGGCGATACAAAAATTGTTTGACGTGTTTTTTTGTCGGTTTTTAATAATAATAATAATTTCAACAAACAATATTCATATTCAATCAATAAATTTATCTATATTTTGTATGTAAATATCTATAGGGAAAGTTTTTCAAATTTGCATGCCAATCGTGTATATACCCATAGGTATTCTCTTTTTTATTTTTATTCGATTTCATATTTTTCGCAAAATAACGTATATAGTTTTTTGTTTTTTGTTTTTTTTTATTATTATAATATATATATATATATATATCTGACTTATTAAGGTACTTAAACAATTTACTATAAGGAAATTATAATAATAATTATTATAAAATAAAAGAAATTGCATAGAGCTGACGCGTCATTTCTTAACATTTGTCTCTCGCGGGACCGGGGGATCGACGTTTTCTTCTCAAAGCCATCGGGAACGGCTTCATTTCCAATCTCTCCTGAAAATTATTAAAACATAACATTACTAACATACAACAATCGCATTTTAAATTGTCTATACCTACTTTTACATACAAGATACAAAACCAATCAATGCTCTCGGGCAATCATCTGATTTATCGAAGAGATTCTTGTTAATTTTTAAATTATCTACCCTGTAGGTACAAGGTACCTATGATTTTGAAAGTGGAATTTAAAAAATGTTTACTGAAACAAGCAATATAACCTAAGTATGCTATTAATATTATCCTCCAATGTTAGGTGCCCATATGTATTTTGTTGTGTTTAAAAAGTTTCTAAAAAATAATATAAATTTTACAGTAAAAATATGTAGAATAGCTAAAAGCTAAAAGCTCCGGGTGGTTGAGTGGATGGTAAAATTATATAGTTTTTATTGGGTCTGAAAAATATTCAGCGAGCCACTGGTTTTCACCGATAGCAGTCTAAGTATTAAGTGCATAATATTTCATTATGAACGCCAGCGATAAGAATAATAATTCGCTTTAGTAGGTATTATAATATGAATGTACAAAAACAAAAAAAAAAACTTGGTATACTGTAGTGATAAAAAAATGAATAGGTATGACGTATAATAAAATTGACATCGGCGCCGCGGCGGAATAGCAGAGGATTTTCTGAACGATAAAAACACGTTAAAAGAACTGAAAATAGATAGGTAGGAAATCTGCTTATCGTATAATTCACGGTACCATCCGATTTGTCGTTGCTTTCATTGCATAAATTAAAATATTATCCTGTACTTGGCTACCTATATTACCTATAATCGTATTCCTCCCAAACTTTCCATCTACCAACATTAGCGAAAATTCATTGAAATTTCTGGGTGGATGGGAGATGCTAACATTTAAATATGAATTTGACGTATATAGACGGCCTGTGTAAAACAAAAACTACGTGTATAAAGATATTAATTGACGAAATTTAATTAAAAATACCGGAAAATAAACTAAAAAGGTAAACATAACTTAAAAAGTCCAAAAATGACCTTGAAAATTAAAAACGTTAAAAAACACAAAAAAATGCAAACTAAAAGTTTCATAAATAAATGTGTTCAATTCAAATTATGTATTTAAAAAGCTACGTTTCACGATAATTTAAAAAAAATGCATTTTCCTACAAATTCACAGCCATAATTATAATTGAATTAAATTTCGCAGGTAGGTATATTTTCTTGTTCGGTTTTTTTCCTATAACAAATGTATCGATACTATTTCGGTTTTGTTTATATTTTACACCAAATAGCTGACTGGCCGTGCTTATTGCTATTTCTACACAACTCAACCAAAAATAGAAAATAAAGCATTAAACCGCCTGATTTGTTTTCTACTGGTCGGATCGGAAAACGATTTTAACAGGTATAAAAATTCACCTCTAGTAACGGAAAAAAAAAATAAAAATCGGTCCAATAGTTTTTCAGTATATTAATCTCGGATATACCAATATCCATTTGTATATTATTGTCTGTAGCAACGGTTCTCAACCCTTTCATATCCGCGTACCATTAACACTTTTTGACGTTTTTCACGTATCATTTGATACGTTTTTTTTTTTTTTTTTTATTAAATCTACATAATTATATAATCATTCATTACACAAAAGTAAAATTACCACAGGTTGAGAATCGCTGATCTATATAGAATATAATATATTATTATTCTATCGATATCGGTGTACGGATAAAACGCCCGTCGTGCCGATAAAAGGACCTAAAATATTCGTGAAATCGTGAAATAAACGCACTTAACGGAAACACGAGCGATTATACTTTTCGTATTTATTATGAGACCGATGTCGGTCGGCGTCCGCGGCGGAACGTGCCCCCGGCCGATAAATCCACCGTTTATCCGAAACTCAAAAAAAAAAAAAAAAAAAAAAATTAAGCCTGTAAAAACGGTTATCGGTGTATTCGGTCCAGGCGTGTGTCACACGCGAGATATGCATTTTTTCCGTGATGTCCATTCTCTTGTCAGGTGTTCCCCAGCACATCTTCCACCCTCTATATCCGTGACGTTTAAAATAATATTACATGGATACACGGGTCAGGTATATATCGGTACGAACGCGAATCGAAATCTGTCATTTTCACGTTCAACAGGTCAACATAAATACAACGGTATCGGCAATGAAAAAAAAATATTCTCGTATATCGACGTCGGCCAACTCTATACTCGTCCAATAAAAACGCCGAACCCGATCGAAAAACCGATGTTCGCCTATGCAATAACAATATGTACTCGTGTTACACCTCCGTAGAGAAAAACAAAACCCGTACGACAAATCGCGATTGAAATTAATTACAAATATCAATAGCCCCGCCGGCTATTGATTTTCATATACGTCGCCGCCGTCGTTTCGAAAGATTTCGTGAAATCTATGTGACGTGTATACCTACACTGAAACTTGCGCACTGCATAACGGACCGTCAAAAGTGTCCGTTATATACGGGTGTCTCGTAATGTCGCAGTGTTTTTGTAGAGTCAAATTCGTTCATCGTATTATTGCCCGATAATTTATTTTCTTTTAAAAAGGGTTCTTCCTTGTCTGCGGCGACCATATTAAATAATAATTGTTTTTTTTTCATCCGTGTCACCAAGATAACCCATAAATGAAAGAAAAAGAAAAAGTGGTGTGTCAGACATCACGTAATCATACGCATTTGAGAATTAGCAGTACGTTCCTTGTTAGCTACTTACCTATTAAACCAAGAATGCTTAGAGAAAGACTTAATCACAATTTTTCAGTTTTAGATCCCGAGCGCAGCTATTGGTTTTACAATGCTGTTTATTTTTTTTTTCTTCTTCTTTGTTCTTTGTTCTAGTCTGTGGGCAGGGTTTTTTCTAGAAAACTTCCTCCGATGTTTACTAGTAACAACTTTTATAAAAGCTCAAGTTGTCTAAATTGTACTTTAAAAATGTCATTTTTTGATTTTTGCCTTTTTGATTTACATTCTTACGGTCTCATCGTCAAAACTTTTGAGCTTTTAATGAATTTAAATTTTTGGGAGTTTTTGCTGTAACTCGGTTATAAATACGCGTAGAGACTTGAAACTTGGTAATAATACTTATATTGGATTTACATGGTAAAATTTCTAAAATCATCGGACGACTTTTTTTCCTTATTTTAAATAAGTACCCATCACGTTTTCTAGCACAAATATGGCTCCAATTATTATCGTTGTTTAACAACGATAATAGACTATATTTTTGTTGAATTTTTTTTTATAAGTGTTTTGAAATAAAATTTAACCGAAAATCGCAAAAAAATAATATGGCACTTTAAATTATGTATTATCGAACTGCGCTCGGAATCGTCTTTCGTCAGCAATGGTTTATCGTTGCTTACACATATAAATGAAATAACAGTATGTATCCTATCTTCCCAACTTCCCACCCACAATAGTGGCTGCACCTGTCTCCAGTATCAGCTCTTTTTTACTTTTATTTTTCTCTTTGTTGTTGCAGGTTGTTTATTATGGTACACGCTCATCATTATAATAATGTACAATAGTTTATGCTCATTTCGATTGTAACACGAATATGTACAGTATAATTTGTGCGAGGAGTGCAATTGTGTTGCCATTAGAATGGATAACCAATGAGTACCTACGTCATCGTATTCGGCAGCAGCGTCTAGACTATTCTTGTCATTGCAAACGATGAGTCGTATTTCAACACCGACCGACGTTTGTGTTTACCTATATACACATTTGGACGAAAGGGCTTTTAAAACGGTTTTTTCCCCTAACGAACGTGTATAGAATATACCCAACTACAACGCTATATCCGAGTTGGAAACGTCCGTATATACGATAGATACGTAAATCGTTTCGTATAGGTAAACAATATTTGTCCCGCGGGGAGTTCAACTCGATTTGCAAAAAAAAAAAAAAAAAACCTATCCAATGGCTGTTTGACCACTCTGACCGAGCGGTCGTTTGGAACGAAAAAAAGAAATCAATTAAATTATTCGAATGGTATTATAATAATATTATAAATGTCACGAATTATACATATATAATAATGTGATAATATTCGACGCGTAGGTACATTTCGTACATTTCAGTTTATTTTTCCAAATTCGAGTATATCTACGCGTTTATTACGAAAAAAAAAAAAAAAACAAATTATACAAATATATTATATATATTATGAAATTAAAATTGTATTTAAAGTATTAATGCATCCTATAACATCTCATCGTGCTCTACGGATTTTGTATATCTCTGTTAACATATTCAATTTGTTTAATTTTTTTTTTCTAATCAAATTTTGTATCAGTGGGAAATACATGTAGAGAAAAATTTGTATTTAAAGCTTCCAATCTCAAAAAAAAAAAAAAAAAAAAAATTAAATAAAAACTTTATTTGTTCCACTTTGCAGCGTTTTCAAAATAGTTAATTTGAAAAGATATTCTAAACATTTTAATAGACCAATATATAATTACTATTATTAGTAGCCGTTTTAATTTCAAACACAATACATTATTTATAATAGGTACAGAAATAAAACTTGTTTTTCTATAGTGATTAAAGGGTAATAATACAAATTTCATTTTTCTCTAAATATATTGTTCCCTTTAAAAAAAATTAAAAATTAACAGAGATATAAATAAATCGGTAAAAAACACAATAAAAACACAATAAGACATTCAGTATATCTGTGGTTCCACGGGAAGATGGACTTGAAATCAATTTTTTTTTATAATTTTCTTGTATAGACAATTCTACTATAATTGTCAACAATTGCCATCAATTATGTTTGCAGTTATTAAATGTCTAAATTATTTTTCGGTGGAATTGTCTTTTTCTGGGACCAATGATATAAAGGTATAGTGTTTTAGTATTAAACACATATTTATTTTTTTGTTTGTTCGGTACCTACCTGTGTTTATTCTGTATAGAAAATGGATTTCCTGTGAAATTTAATTGACCGTATGAAAAACTGCAATGCAGATAAAATAAATATTTATATATCATCGCCGGTCTTTCCTACATACGATAGTAATTCTAATATTATTACGTTTAATACGACAAAATTGGTGAGTGTAATAATAGTAATAATAGTAATGATAATAATAAAAATAATAATGTTAGGTATTATAACATCTAATCTCTCTCTCTCTCTCTCTCTCTCTAAAATATATATTTATCGTCTCTGAATCGTTCAAATAATATTTATCCAACATAAATACAAAAAAATCGACAAGAAAATAACACACAAAAAAGAGGAAACGATTCATAAATAAGATTCCGTCACCCACGGTAGTATAATATATTATATCGATTTGTCCGGTAATAAATCACATCTATACCTATACGCGTTTTTATTTTCTATGGAGGGTATACAAATCCGGATCATCTGCAAATCCAATAAAATACCACGAGCCTATAGACCCGAGTATATTATTTAGTATGCTATTATAGATAATAGAATACAATTTATCTGTTTGTTTTTCAAATTATTATGTAGTTAAAAATATCGATACAAAGAAAATCCAAATTAAAAAATATTATAATGAATACATAAATTCAACGAAAACTATCGTAACTCGCCGATTATATATTATTATGTTTAGGAGGGCAAAATTAAACTGATTCTAATCCAACAGTTTTTAATTTAATATTTTTGTTCAAACTCGCTTAGTGTCTATAATATACTTTAAATCTCTTCATCAGTAATTTCAGGTAACTCGTTTTGTTGATCATTAAAAAAAAAGTTTTAAAAAAAAAATTGAATGTTGACAGTTTTCGTTAGGGATGTTGAAATAAAGTTAGGGTATGTATAGGTAAAAAAACAAAAATATAAAATAATTGTACACGTATGGAAACATTGTTTACAACGAAATTTGGACAAGCAACGTGATTTACGAGAAAGTCTACAATAAGTATTCTGCAATCAACTCATATACCGGAAGGTATATTTACCGTTGAAAATTATTTTTTTTTTTAATTCGGACGACTGACAAGTACACCTACTGTACCGTCTTACTATAATAATCCGATTTTCCGTCAAATTGATGGGGGGGGGGGGAAACATTAATTACTATTCGTCCAAAATTTTGACTTACGGCTTTGTTTTGTCTTTGTTGACGCAAAAGTTCAACACGTGCTTCTTGGATGGCTTCCCAGAGCTTAGCCTCGGACAAGATCTGCCTGCTGAGCTCTTCGACCGCCGGTTCCGAACGAAGGTCGACTAATGTGGCCATTGACTCATCTGATCGTTTACGACCACAACCTAACATTATATGAACATTAGATTAGCCGTTAATATTTGTATAGAACAAAATTTATTCGTATATACCTACAATTACGATTATAAAAACATAAAAAAACGAAATCATTGTAGAAGAAAACACATTGCACACTGTATAAAGTCGGTGTTCTATTTAAGCAGGTATTATTATCTCGAAAAGTATTAACTTTTTTCGGAATTTGTTTTATAGAAATAGCAGCTCTACTGATTTTATATTAATGTTATTTTTTGTCACCCTAATTGTCGAGAGTAAACCCGCTACCTAATTTCGATTTGGTAATGGTAACCTAGCTACATTAAAAATGTCATACATAAAAGTATTAGTTAAAATAAATTTTTGTGTTGAAATTTCACATAGGTAATACGTGCTTATACACACATACACACACACACACACACACACACACACACACACACACACACACACACACACACACACACCAGGAGAGGGACATGGCCACCCGCGGGTTCGTGAATAAAATTGTTTGTGTCCGCTCACTAGAAAACACGTTAAATACGCCACTGCTTAAAGGGTAATAGTAGTACCTTTATTTTTAATCGATTGTTAAAATAATTAAAATAATAATAGAAAATATACGCGGAACTTGATTAAATACGTATATATTGAGATTTATCGCAAATTTAACGTTATCACAAACTAAATTATATTATAGCTTATCATTGTATAAAATCTAATATACATCCTATTGTTTTAAATTTACGGTACATGAGCCATGATTTTATTAGATTATTTGCATTATCAATACGAGTATAGTTAAAATAATAATAAAAATTGCATGATAAATATTAAATATCTTTCGTGATAATCAGTTTAACGAAGTTATGGTTATGTCGAAAAATGACTAAAAACTTAAAACGAAAATTTGTCAAAAAAAAAAGAAAAAAGAAAAAGAAACCTCTATGGTTTATATTTAGGTTATTTCTATTTATTTATGATATTATTATAGTGTCGAATAAAAAAGTATGTTATTTTTTTTAACAAAGTTTCGTTTAAGGCTATTAAAAATGCTGTTAACATATTATAATAAAGTTATTGTGTTATAATTAACGGGTTTTTTCCTACCTGTGAACGCGTTGCAAAAAGGTTTTTTCCTCCTGATTGGTTCAGCAATCGGATTATCGTTATCGTAATACTGTTCAAACACAAAAGCAACAATATATTAAAACATATTAATACAAATATATATTGAACGTGGTTTGTAACTTTTGTTCCAAGTATATTTTAAATCTGGAATGTTTAACGATAGGAAGTCAACAACTTCAGATACCTTTGTGCGTCACTGTATAATATATAAAGCTAATCGATATTTTTAATTATTTATAATTGACGACAATATATATTTATTATTTTTAGTAAACGAACGAATCTATTTAATGGTATTAAATTTTGGATTCATTTCTTTAGACGTTGAAATAAACGACCGCAAAAACTTGTCAGCCGAAATCGTTCTAACCAGACCGATATATTAAAATAGAAATGAAAACTATATAACTTTATTTTTATCAAAATATCTATTATTTATTATAAATAAAAATGTTTACATAATATTAGAGTCCGTTAATAGAGAATACATATTATTATTAGTATACTTTCACAAGTTTTTTCGAGTTGAGATTCAATAATATTTAATTACAATTATTATGGCCGTGTCAAAAGTAGAAAAATGTTGGTGAAATGAAAAATAATACGAGCGTTTTTACGACGCAAAAAAAAAGTAATTATAATTTATATTATAATTTGGTTAAAAAAAATAAAAACAACAAGGAAAAATATTAAACTAATATCAAGTAATTATTCTAGAATAAAAATATTAAATCGTTGTTATAAATGTATATACATATTACAATAAAGACGATTTTGAAATTTCGTATCTATAACGGAAATAGATATGCATTTGATAATATATACTTAAAATCAGTTACAATAGTTTTTCTAAAATTTCATAGATTATAATAATTTACCCTTTTTTGCATAATGACGTCATCGGCGTACACCGTTTGTACTAGAGATACCAGTACACTCATCCAGACGAGGGTCAAAATTGATGGATTCATGACTGTTGATGAATGGCCTTTTGCAAACAAAATTTTATAAGTTCACAAACACGTAGGTATTACGAGAATATTATGTTAAAATAATTTTCATATTTCAGAAAACATTCATTTATTCTTCTTCTTATATTTTTAAAAGTAAATTGTTCTCATATTTATTTATTTATTTATTTATTTATTTATTTATTATATATTAAATTTATATTTGTATACTAATATCCAATACAGTGGATTCCACTTAATGTGGCCACCGGATAATGTGGGCAGCTGCCTAATATGGACATAATAGTTCGATTCTAATGGACAACGATACTCATTTCGGTTAAATGAGCAACTGTTTAATGTGGGCAAATGTAAATGGTCCACGTGAGCACATCAAGCGGAATCCACTTGTATATCAAATGTATAATAACAAATTATTTGTTGTATAACATATATTAGGCCATTGCATGTTTTAGTGAATATCCACTGCATGTCTTCGTCCTTTAAAAAAGTTCCTTGAGCACACATATATATCAAACCTTTCCCTTAACTTCTAGACTTTTACCAGTCACCCACTACTGACCAGTGAAAGTATTTCCTAGATAAAATAATATAATAATATATTGCTGCAAATTTTACTATTAAATTATTTACCATTTATTTTCTATAGTGGACACTCATGAGCAAAATTTGACTTTACTGGGTGTTCAATAGATTTTATTGCTTGTATCCGAATCGGACACAGAAAAAAATGTAAAAAATGCCCTGTGTCGGGCGATTATCGTATCTCAATTTGTAAAACAGAAATAAAATATAGTTTAGAAAAATCAATTATATAATAATATTTAAATATTTTTTTTTTAATCCATTATGTATTTAAGTACCCATATGGTAACGAATAACTTTTTAAAAAATATTTGACCACTATTTCAAATGTTGACCATTTTATATCCTGGTGTTACCATATGGTAACATCAAAAACCTCATTATTGGGTTAAAAAATCAAAAAATAATATTAACGTTTTTTTAATTTAAAAATGAATTTTAACCAATTATAAAAAAAAAAATCTGAATTAAAAAAAAACTTCGGACTTAATGGGTTAATTTAAATGATATTAAAAATACCCAATATTATATATATCCTACCTATTTTGAATGAAAGGACTGATATATTTTTTTAGGATTTTTTGAAGTGCCAAGCGAATTAATTATTGTTTAATTTTGAGAATTTGTCAGATTTTTATAGTTATATAAAAGTATTTGAACTCTTAAATATTGATCTAGTATGTAATTCGTCAGTTATTATGAGAATTGGATATAGAAACAAAAATACAATATTGTTTACAATGACGCGTGTAATCATATTTTTTTCACGTTCAATTTTTAGACATAAAAGGTAAGTAATTGAACACAATAGGTACTTTACGGAAAGGTCATTTTTTTAGAATTTCTCAATTGGATGCACCGAATATCGTGAAAAACTAAAAAAAAAATATAGTGACAAAAAATTCCAACAAGTATCTACAAGGTTTTAATTTTAAACTTCACTCGTAGAATCGCTTTTGTGAATGCAATGATTTATTATATTGATTTAGGCACCAAAAAAAAAAATTGTTCCGTTTAAAATAAATTATATTGTTGTATTTAGAATATTATCATGTTTAAATTAAATGATAATTTTGTTAGGTACCTATATTAAACAAAAATCATTATGTTTTAAAAATATTAAGATATAACACTTAATTACAAAAGCAACAATTAGTATCGGTAATAGTATTATAGGTAGGTGAATAATAGTATGAAATTAAAAATAATAAAGACCCTTTTATTTTATAAATTAGTTGATGAAACAGACAAATTGTGAAAATATTATAATCTTATAAATATTCGTCTGATTAAAGATAATACGCAGTTAAACAAGGGCAATCGCAAAAAAAAAAATCTCGCCGCATTTTAAATAAACGGATTAAGGTCTTTTCAAAAAAAAAATTGTTAGTATATTTTGATTTAATATAATTACGTGTCATTTTCTCACTTATGATTACTTTTATTATACAATTTGAAAATTGTTCACCCTAAACATCTTTTTCCATTTTATTTTTTATATATAATAAATACATATTCATTATCTAGATAGTTTTTAAGTTTTCCCGCAAATTTGTCAATATTAAAACTTTCATATATACTATTATTATTAAAGTTATTTATTTATTATTTTTTAATATAAATATTTTATCACTCGGAAAGATGAGCTTGAAATTGTGTTAAATAATTTTTATACATTGACATTTTAAACTCAAAGTGGAAAAGGATACTTTTAGTTTAATGACGTGAATTAGTTTTTTTTTTTAAATTTATCCGTTTTAAGTTTTGACAGTTAATACGTTAAAAGAGTTGCATGTAATAAATGTTTAGATATTATAAGTATATTATACGCTACTTTTTCAGAGGCGTAGCTACAAGGTGGGCAGGAGAAGAACAATTACTGTCCCAAGACGCTAAAATTGTAATTTTAATTTTAATAATTTATAAGCTATTGAATTTTAAAGGAGAAATGTTATAATAATACGAATATTTCGAATTTGGATCACGGGATTTGATATCAAACCATACTTAAGACATCTATGATTTGCTTCGTGAGAAGAATTCAAAATTAATTCGTTCTAGTGAAATTACTGTCAATATTTTTGAATCGAATTCCGCTCAAAATTGTTTTTCCGATATGGCAGTTTATCAATTGTTTAAACGATTACTATAAGTAATGCAGTAAAACTTCCGTAAACGGCCACCTCTATGTAACGGTAATTTTTTTCAGTCCCGTCAAGTGTTATGCTTCTATAGGAAACCTCTAAAGGACGTGGCTTCTAAATAGCGGTCATTATTTCCGGTACCTTTGGTAAAGTTTTACTGTACAATATTACACATCCACGCGTGTACAACAGTGACTTGTGTCAAGGTGAACACCAGTTCTCCGGATATAATTTCACTTATACTAGACTTTAATTGCGTATAAATTATCACGAGAATCTATAGGTATATCGCGAATACAAATTTCAATAAATCCACCAAAAACCCACGGGCCGCGAGAAATCGTTTTTTGAACCAACGCAATATTAATTTTTAACAATCAGACGTACAATTAATATAAAACGTCTCTGAAATATTAATACACTACTCGGAACAGTGCACTGTCTCCTCAAACTATACAATAACAATAGTATTTCCGGATTTTGTTTTATTTTAATTATTTTTTTGTTCGCGTTTATAAGGTACTAACATAAATTGTAATTATAAACTGTGAATTATTAAATGATACATTGGTACATACTTTATGAGACTTATAATATAAACCAAACTCTATATTCCATCAGCCATATAAATATTATATTTTTATAGTAAAAACGTCGAATAAATTAAACATCTAGAGTATTTAGTTGATGGTCATTATACGTTAAACAATATTAAAATGTATGTTTTAGTTGAATCTCGTTTTTGGTATTATAATATATTTTCTCATTTGCAAAGAGAATTTTAGGAAAGGTTATGCAGTTAAGTACAACATAAAGAATATATTTACATAGATATATATATATATTTATAATATAAATACGTTTTTTTTTTAATTGAATGTAAAGTTTTATGATATTTGTCTATTAAAAAATGAATCTATAATACCAACTCGTGAATAGTTACTTAATTAAAAATGTAAAAAAGAGCTGACACTGCAGATGGGTGTGAGATTATTGTTGTGGGTGGGAAGTTGGAAATATAGGATACATAAATTTATTTATATAGTTTATATCTGGACGCAACGATAAATTATTGCTGATGGAATACGATTCTGAGCGGAATTCGCTTAAACGTGTTTTGAAATGCTCCGATTTTTTCCGTCAAAATATATACTTAAAATAATGCTTAGAAAAAAGTGAATACATTAAGCTCAACTTTTTATGGCCACTAAATAAAGCCTATTATGAACCATATTGTAAAACCGTACTTTTCTTAATAATTGTGAAAAACCGGGAAAACTGGAAAGGTATTGAATAACAGTTTCGACGCTTGGAAATTTTAAAAACAAGTGTAACAGAAATTTGCTCAGAATCGTTTTTCATTGGCAACGGTTTATTCCTGCATGCAGATATAATAATTAAATAATTTTAACAAACATAGAGTAACATTTTCGAATCGTTTCAATATTAGTTGAACGTATACCTATTAGTTCTTAATATTAATTATTTAGAGAGACATCTGATGTAGTGTTGATAGTAGAAATGTCCGTTAAATTATAATAGATAAAAAGCATATCGCTATATTTCTTTAACAGGAAATCTGTAATATTATTCCTTTGGTACCGAGGAAGGAGGGAGTTTTGTATGGTTTTCATGCAAGCAAATTACACTTTGAGAAAATATTACGTTTATGGCGTTCAGACCAACGAATAATGTGAACAAAATTTAGATAAAATAACCAAAAAAAAAAAAAAAATTAAAATTACATAAATTGAATAAAGTCAGTCTTCCCTAGGACCAAAGATTTAATTCATACGTATTATAAATATTTATCATAATAATATTTTATGAAATACATTTAGGTAGATATGAGATTCATTAATAATAAGCTATACAGTATACGATAAGCTCTATAAGATATTTTCAGAAAACAATTAAATTGTCACACGTTAACTGTTGAATTTTTACAACATAACTATAGCGAGTACCTATACGTAATACGTCTATAAATTATTATAAAAAATATTTAAATTTCTGAACAACACAGGAAATGTATTTTAAATTTAATATTTCAATATATGGTGTTTTAGTCTAAAAAGAAAAAAAAATTATGGGTTAAATTTAAAAAGTATTTTTTTTTTTATATCCCCGAATACATATTTCATATAAAATATTTAATGTAAAATATAATGCATAAAAGGCATTATAATAATAATATCGAATAGGTACGTTATAATCGTATACAGAATTATAATAGCAAAATAAAATTAAATAATAAAATATAACGTCGGATTTCTTACCTGTCACGGGTTCAATCAGCGCATTGATCAGAAACACAAAAACAAACACAATCACTGCGAGCGTGTGTTAATGTCGGTTTTTATAGGTAAAGTTTTTCGTAACGTCCGCAGTGAGCGCTTTTTACGGTTTTCGATACGCACACTTACGCCCCGTACATATGATACGAAAATAAATGCTAACGAAACCGCCCCAATAACAGTCTTATAATAATAATATGATTCGCGCCCGAGCAATAGAAGATTAGTTATATTTTCGAATTTTTTTTTTTTTAAGAAAAGAAACAAAAAAAAAAAAAAAAAAAAACCAAAAAACCCGTATATAATATCGAACGCGTATCGTTCAATGTGTGTTGCACATCAATTCACCTGTCCGATACTTTCAAAATCCGAATAAATTATCGCGGAAAACAATTCCGGAATACCAGGTACCCACCCACTCGAAATAAATAGAAAAACGATATTTTATGCCTTGTAAGTCTCTGTCAAATCCCGAGCGGTTTGCTCAGCGCGGACGAGAAATAATAATACCTTACAGCGGGCTTCGAGCTTATTGTCAATAATAATATAATTACTAATAGCGCAGATTTAAATAGAACAACGCGATTGGCGACTATCGTGCCCGATAATTTTTTTTTTACCATGGAAAAACAAACTTGGAATTTTACCTATAACAGGTCCGAAATTATGTTTAGCTAACGGAAATCCAAATTGACGGTTTCGACGACGAACAAATGGTTATTTAAACCGAATTGTCTAAAAATAAGTATATTGTGCTTTAGTAGCGCAATTTTATGTACCGGATTTATGCCAAAATTCCAATAATTTAAAGGAAGTAGAACGACTGATCTGAATAATATATTAAAACCTTGAAAGTCAGAGTCCATTTAAATACTTATAATGTAGCAACAAATACCAATATCGGTTAGTTAATTTTCTTTGAAGAATATTGACAATAATTTAACAATTTGTTTTTGGGCGGAGAAAATAATAGTATATAATTACACGAGAAATACTGTAGTAAACCAATAGAATGACGAACACAATTAATTATATTTAACCTTTACGAAAAAATAATGACATGCCTTGTAAAGTTTTTAAATATAAACTTTTAAGAAAATGTAAACAACAAAAAGAAGAAACTATTATATTGAAATTTCATATAATATATAAGTGCACAAACAATGTTTGTACAGAGAAAAACAAGATACGATGAGATAAATGTCATACGGGTTTTTTTTTTTTTTATACGTTCAGGGAATTGTATTTTCGTGACTTAAAACAAATATTATTTTTAAACAAAAAAAAATACTTACATTCCTTTGCTCGTGTAGAAACTGAAAAACATGCAAAATTCTTGAGTTTTTGGTAGACGACTGAGACCGATAGCATATCTTTAAAACCGAAAAGTTTAAAATAATGGTAATAATATTAAACAAGGCTTCGGAAATTTTTCTTAAGCGTAATATGAATATATTCATCATAAATAGTGAATTTCAAACAAATACCCACTAAAACGTTTAACGTTAAAAATTATAATTTTAATAATATTTCGTAACGTTTGTAAAATTAATATTTTTTAACTATTTCATGTCAACAATATAGGTACGTTATTTTCTGTGAGCCGTTTCGTACCAAAGAAAATAATGTTTTATTTATTATCACACAAGAAAAAAAAAAATTAACAAAAAGTATTTCAACGCCTTTCGTCGTATACCAAGACGAAGTTTACCCGATTATCATAATTGGATAGGCACGTTGTTGTAAATTGTGTAAATATTAGGAATGGTTTATATAAAGGGCATTCATAAAAAAATATTGAACAATTATTCACGGACAAAACTATAGTAAATTACTAATAATGGGAGAAATATGTTATATGGATCCATATTATTCAATATGCAGCAGTATCTCGTTTTTTTCGATATACGTAAATGATTTACTAAAATGGCGTTTGATAAATAGAAAAAAAAAGCCGTAGGTATAATTTATTATCGGCGATCTAAAATTGGAATAAGTCCGTAATGATATAAGTATACAACTGATTGCATTTCTATACAGAGCAACCTAAATCGCCTATAGTTGATCGGAGCTCTTGTGCAGTAGTTCCTCCTACCCCCTTTTAAAATGTCAATTAATCATAAGGCCATTATACTTTTGTGAGAATTAAACTTTCAGTTCTATCTTTTTTAACCAAACCTATATACGATTCCTAACGATAGTTTAAAAAGAGTGTCTATCGGATAAGAATCCAAGATATTAGGTACATTGCGTCTTAAAAAGTAAAATAATGCATTCTTAAACTGATTTTTAAATAAAGTTAGTTTAAAATGTTTTTAATGTTAATAAAATCTGTAACTACGGTATATTGTTCATTATTTAGATTTTTTTAAGAGTATAGATTTCCGATCAGGTCACTAAATTATACAACTAGTTTCGATAAATTATTGTTTTACACCTACTCTTTCAGAATACAGCCAATACAGAGGGTGTGTGTTAGGGTATTAATGTAAATACACATTTGGAATTTTAATAAAAAAAATATATACCCGTATATGCGTCAACAATATTATGAAAACATAGAAATATTATATTTTTTATTTGCCACAAAAGAAAAAAAACATTCGTGAACAGCAGAGTTCCACCATTAGAGTCCAATTTTCCCCACCTATTTCATGTAATAGAAATATTCGTTGCAAAACAATAAATCATTAAATACTATAGTGTACTACAATTTACTATTACTTCCTAAAATAATATGAAATTTGGTCATAAAAATGGAAGGGGTGATTGTTAAAAGTCCCAAAAAACACGTCCTTAATATTAACACCGTGCATATATACAGAAATTGTCATTCTTGGCTTTATTTTTGGAATCTTTGGGTGTTAAAAGCTAAAAAAAAAACATCCTCTATCTGCAACAAAAACACGGCACGGTGAAATTCTTCCCGAGTTTGTGCTCATTAGGTCCGGAGGGAGTTGCTTAAAATGTCCAAAAGTTGCGAGAAAAAGATAAATAACTATATAATTTATATAATAATTACCATACAGTACAAATCTCTATTTTCAGGAAAATTCCGACAAAAAATGCAAAAAATAAATGCAATATGTGTAACAAAAACAATATTACATATTCGTCATATGCAATAACGTTTCAAAAAAAAAAAAAATAATAATAATAACCTCTTTCCCCCTACTAGATATAGCAAGTAAAAGGGACGTAGATATTTTTCAAGTTAAAAATAACATATGTTTGCATATATATAACATTATATCTAATCATTTCTTCACTGATACTACCCACATTTTGTTTTCCTTCGATTCCTACAAAAATACGAGAGCCCGAATTTATTTAAAATTATTGATATTATTTTTATTATTTTTTTTATAAAGATCCACGACTTTCACATTGACAGAAAATACATTACATTAAACGTCTATATTAAGTCCGTGAGTACTTTAAATAATACTAGTCAGCTGATTTCTACTACTAAATATTAAAATCTAAATTGTACAAATGCTTACATCACATGAAAAAATTACTCACTGAAATTTGAAATATTTAATTATAATTTTTAGCGTTTTCCATAGATTATTAAATGAAATAATTTGTTAACAATATATAAAACGTTCGGAACCTCTATAATATAACAATATAAAAAATAAAATCACAGATAGTCCTAAATTCGTCTTACTTTTGGCGTAGCCAAATTTTAGAATGATTTATTACTTATGAAGTTTAAATCAGTTTTAAGATCATTTAATACCTACATTCTTTAAAATAAATTGAATAGTAAAAATAATTATTATTTACTTTTAAACTGTCAATTGGAATATACTTTGAATAATTTAGTAAATTTTGTATATTATATTAAAAAGCAATAATACCTCACATTTGTATACATCTCGGGCATATTGTTTTTGGTACACTGATTAATTATTTGAAGATAAATTTTTATAACTTCGAATTAATTTGAAAATGGATTTATTCAAACGTATTAATGTAGAGTTATTTATATTTTAAAACTAACCTGGTAATAAGCACATTCCCGTTTGTTTGAGATTTCTTTTGTTTGTAAATATTTTATACTGTAGATCTATACAAGTATAAGGTAGGTACTCTGTATGTTTTTAATAATGCAAACGTAGAGCATGCTATGTTCATTTAGTTTACAATCGTTACTATCCGGAGTTATCTAATCGTAAGTATACAAAAAGAATCTAGAATGGATTTTTCTGCAAATATAACTCCGGTATATGTATTTTTATTTTCGTGACGAGTTAATACGTGTGTGATTATAAAATGACTTCGAACGAGTATTATTATTATTCACGACAGTGAGTAACGATGAATCTGGATTTGAATTATTATATAAATTGCTTAAAATTGTACACACATTTCAGTGTTACGTAAACGGATTTGACATGCTGTTATAGATAGGTACCTATATAATCTGTTGGACGATGACGAATAAACGAAACTGTCACCAAGAAAAATACAATCAAACTAGTTATACAAAAAAAAAAAACCTTTGAAATATCGTTACGAACAACTGTGAGTACTACATAACGATCTACTTTTATTAATGATGAGATATTACACACACAAAAAAAAAAACTAGTATACAGAGATTCCGCAACAAGTACAAAACAATAACGATGATATTTAAATAAAATAAAAAAAATTTAATAAAATCGTTTTCCGTAAATTGTAATTATTTAACTATTAAAAACATTACCTAGGCGTATGACAATATTTCGATAATGTATTATTGTAATATTTATAAAATTAAGATTGATCGACGAAACAGACCTTTTTTTCCCCATATCTTGAAACCGACCATAATGTATATTATAATATTATTATGTTGTTTGAACTTCATTCAGTGTCCAAATTAACATAATAATATCACAAAATTATATACAATATTTATCGACACAAATGCTTTAATATTGCATATCTATAACGCCGGCTATAAACTTGTGGGTGCGCAGATAATGGTGGTAATCAAATTTCATTAGTAACTCGCTTTTAATCGGAAAAAAAAGTTCATTCAT